GCAACCAGGGGAATAGGTTATTTCAGGAATTCTCCCATCGCATTCATTTTTATTAGTTCTTAAAGATCATCATCAGATGATTAATTCAGTTTTAAACAAGTTAAATTGAATAAGCCCATATGCATATGTTTTCATATTATGCAGTATCTACACAATGTTATGGTTTTCTCTTAAGTAAATTCAATATTGATATTGAAATAAGATATGTTTATTAGACAAATCCAACAAATGTCAATTGATTTTGTCTTTATTCATAGAGTATGCATAAATATTATCAGGTTATCTTTAAAACATGAAACAAATGTGTTAATTAAAGTAACTAAAGCTGCTTAATTAGATCACATTAGATTTCTTTTGATTCTCTATATGAGTTTCCCATATCTGTTTCTCTCTTCCTTTACAGAGAAGACAGATGAAACATCAGAAGATTGGCTGTCTGAGCCCTCCTCCGTGTCCCAAATGTAGCCACATTTTTAAAAGGTTGATTAATATTTAGAGAAAGGTTTTCAAGACATCTGCACATGTCTTTCCTGCACAGTTAAGTGAATGTATTTAATGCTGCCTTACATTAAGTTAACCTTACTCATCCACTCAGCCATTATTAATTTATGCGTGCAGCCCTCTGCTTTCAATTGTCATCAATATGGCAGACTAGAATATTGTGTCTCACAAAACAATGTGGAGCCAGTTGACAGCTCTGCCTGGGCCCAAGACAAGATACTCTTATCCTGCCACAAGCCCTGCCCCAACATACAGCATTCTGTAGATGAAAGAAAGTTAAGACAAGTTTAGCCTTTCAAAAAATGATTATAACGACTGCATTCTAATGCCGTCTACCATCTTTTCCCAAAGACTCTTTCCTTCTCCCTCCTATGGAGTCAGACTGGGGTAAATTGATTGTATAGTTGAAGAAACTGGGAAAACAAAAGGTGAGGCTGAAAAAAACACTTGTTGTAACTGGGTATCAGATTTTTACTTTTTAATCAGAAAAACTGACTCCATACTATCCGCTCTGTACTTTGGATTGTTTAGTCTTCTTCTTTTAAACAGTTTCTAAAGAATACATATAATGTTAAGAGATACATTGTTTTGTGTTTTTCTAACATGACAAATTACACACACATATGTATATGTTTTATAATTAAAAGGTTTCAGTTAATTACTCAATGAAAGAAGTAAATTAAATAAAAAAAATTAAACAAATCAGAATACCTACAATTGAATTTAATAAAACAAATAAAGTTAAGCCAAAATTTATTTGTCAGGTCTAGGCCTTTTCATCTTGAAAAAGTCAAATTGTTCACTTAAATTTTCAATTAATAACAGCGCTGTATTCTTTTTTCTACAATTTTTATTTTTTTAGCTTTCTGTTTCACACTTTTCCTGATATGCATTTTTTCATAATATTAAGTTTCATGTGTATCATTTACTTTTTTTTTTTTTTTTTTTTTTTTGTCAATGTCACACCT